GTCAGACCCACATCCAAACCCACACCCCATATCCCGCACTCACACTCACATCCACGTTAATTATTGAATAGTTCTAGTTCACTGTTTCCTATGCTGGAATAGATGATAATTTCTATTTATTACTTAGATCATGAAACTCTATGTCTTTCGCTGATATTGCTTTGTTTATGGGATAAAAAAGAGATTCTCCAACAAATATCGTATGGCTTGATAATTATAATTAATGAATTAATGAGTGCGGACGTGGAAGGATAATGGTATTCTCTTCGCTGATATCGAAACTCACATCCCAATGAATAATCGAACGATAGTGCCGAACAACTGAGAAGGAGCCCATGTGACGTATTTTTCCTCCAGCTGCTGTACTGCGCTCCATCGAATACATGAGAACAGTTAAAGTTCATCGATGACAAACTCCAAAAGACTTGAGTCTCGCGTAATTTGAGTGTTAGAGTTCTTGATGTAGTCGCATCGATTGACCTATGAAAGACCAAAGGTTACCATACTTTTCTGCTACATGTCGATGTGTCTCTCATCATTCTTCATTTTTGGAACTAGTTTCCGTTGTATATCTCTGTGATTTATGCAATAGCATTAAAAACTATTCACTCAGTACTCTCTCTAACTACGAGACCAATCTGACTAGACACTGTATATATTATTATCGCAGAACAGCTCAAGTGTTTACGAATGATTGAATGAATAATAGTTCTCATAGCATGCTCATCTGCGTGCATCTGAGCAAGAAAGTACGTCAAAATGATGACCTTTCTTTCACATCCGCGTTTGCTTTGAAACCTTGTTCAAGTTCATTTATGATAATAGACAAACCGAAGGAGGTACAATAGTGTAATATTGAATAATTATTCTTTCAGATGATTTTTGTATTCATTTTCATTTCACTTGTTTTGAATTCACAAATTCATGAAGAGATTTTTATTAAAAGTGATAGAGATTATGAAACAGATAAGAAATAAATAAGATTTGACCAAAGAAGTCTCACAAAAAATAATAAGAGACAAGCTTGAATAATTGAAAAACGAAGACAATGAAGAGACAGAAAGCGTTTAATAAGAATGAAAACCTGGTTCATATGTTTGTTAGATGTTAACTTCTTGGTTGAATTCGTTTGAAACAACGAGATGCAATACATTTAAGTGCTACACGATATACTGAGCCAGTGAGTGTGTACAAATAAAAAGAAGTTGAATGTGTGACACCGAGAAGCAGTACAATCACAGAATATAACAAATTTTCGACAGCCACACTATATTTACTTTTAGGAAGATCCGATGTTAGACTGATATACGGACGATAAATTCCAAATGGTAAATCCAAAAGAAGAACAAACAATACCTAAAAAAATATCCTTCAGCAATATTTTCATAATCAATCTTCGATTAAAATATGTTCAAGATTGGCTAACTGTAAAAGCAATTTCAATTAGCAGATACTGACAAGTATCAAGAAGATCTTGTTTTTTTTGTTATTTGTGTTTTTTTTTATTCTTAACATTGACTGAATATTAGTCACAGGATTCAAGAGATAAAATAGTCAGCAATCAACTGGTATACATTTTGAACATTACAGAACGATTGTAAATAAAGATTAAAAACAAAAACGTGACATTTACCTGAACTAATAACATTCGAGTGAGATTGCGATCACTATTTCGCATCAATAGTCTGTTATTGTTTGTGTTATTTGAATTAATTAATTTCATTGTTGGATAAACAACTCTTAATCGAATATTACGAATAGTTAATGAACCAAAAATGGCTAAAAAAATGCTAGGCAAAATGATATCTAATGATAAAACTACCCAATCATTAAAGAATCAGCAAGGAACATTGCGACTATAGCAGGGGACTGGAACATTAGGAACACTTGCTTCGAGACAATAGATAACTTCGATAAATAGAAGTGCAAAGAAAATGAAAATTCCGATTAAAAAACGTCTTGCCGTTCGACGTGTACTCAATCGACGATAAGTAACTAAATGATGACTACACAAGAATCGATCAATATTTGCTCCAACAAGACATCAAGTACCCATCGCCCGACTGACGTTGAGAAAATACTGACGAATTTTACACATAAGTTGATTCTCGTTTGGCCAATTAACATTATAACTAAAATTTAGTTTAAAACAAAAATCTTTTTTCTATTATTTTGAAACGCCCTATTTATAAAGATTATACAGCTATATAAACTATGTATACATGCACATCTCTCTGTTATAAATGTAAGCAATATTGTTTTCACTCCGTCGTTTTATTTCGATTAAACAAATAAAATTATACAGGTAAAGGTCTCTTACTTTAATAGAACTTTTTTTTATTTTCTCTCTGCCTATAATTGATAATTATCTATGTCGTGAACACTACAGTGATCTTGATGACTTAGAAAAACAAAGGAAATCATCCTGAAAAAAAGACATAGATAGAAATTGACGTAAGTAATCGAAAGAATTGAAGAATCTTTCGGTTTTTTATCTTGGCAAATAGTTTTTCGAAATAGGAATTCATCTCAAATTCGTTTTCGATAACAATATGTTACTAGAAATTTTAAATTCATCGCTCGAGAAATACTACATATTTTATATGTGTAATTTACCCTTGTAGGATTCGTGTTAAGAATGCTGACCAAATAAACACTGAACTGAACACTGACGACCAGGAAAGATAGATTGAACATGGATTTACGTGAAGAGAACGTTCGTTTAGTACACAAATGTTGAGTAGATTACCCACCGTACCAAACAGAAGCATTAATGTAGCTCCATGGCGATTGATTTGCATCGTGGCATAAGTGAGAGAAGATACCAGATCCATATTAAGTGACTTTTTTTTTCAATGTACAAATATCAATCGATGACCTCGAAATATATTTAATGCTGATAATAAACACAACGTTTCGGTTTAGAATACTGACAGCGTTGAGAACGTCTTTCTTTTTTATTTTTTTGATTAGCCTAACCAGATAAGCTTTTCACTTCATTTCTCTTTTTATATACGTTTTTTATATTTCAAAGAAAGTCAATAGAAGAAAAATAGAAAATTATAATAATTATGAAATCTAAATGAGGTGATAAAGTTCAGACTCATTATTGTTTCGCTTCCTGTAGAAAGAATGAAACAAAAAGAAGAATAGAGAGATTCTAATGCGATATAAGATGTTAAGATGAATAGTTTTTGATTAGGATTACGTGGAAAAAAAGGATTGTAATTTGTTTTGATTAATGTAGTGCTTAAATCAACTAAACAGTCTGACTATTTTCAATGTTATTTTTTTTGTATAAATTAATTACAAAAGGAACGTCTCTACTATAAAACTAAGGCTCCTATTTAAATGTTAAGTAAATTTTAATAAAAACTAAGTAAAAAATTCAATTTTTGCTAAGTATTTTATTTAAATTCTAAGTGAAAAAGTTTGATTTTCTAGGCAAAATATTGTCAATCTCTAGATGAACATACAAATTGTTTGTTGAGTAAAGAAACATAAATATATAAGTAAAAAGTTTAATTATGCAGTTATTGTATTAATAGAGATTTATTAAAATAGTACCGACCCCATTGTTTTTCTTGTTTAATGTCCATTTCAGCTAGTACATCATTAAAAAAGCTTTTGTCTTTTATTCATTGAAATTTATATTGAATTCTTTTCTTTTCTTGAATATCTTTCTGGTCGATATCCACTTCGTTATCCAATTCTGATGAGCTTTCATATTGTTGTGTTCCGACAAAATTTGCAATTGTTTTTAAAATCGAAATAAATTTTCAATGGCACATATATTATCAATAGATACAACACTCACAGAAGGACAACAAGAGAGAGAAAATGTATATTTCATACCACCAGAAAAAAAAATATCCATTTTGTCTCTGATTATTTTACTTTGTCTTAAATCATAAATTACTTAATAGTAATAATTTTTACTTATCGAATTTGTTTTATAACTATGATTTCAATTTATTAACTTCACGAAAAAATATTTTACTTGTATATTAATTATTTAACTTAGTAGATATTTTTAATTCGCTGAACATTCAATAATTTCACTTAGCATTTAAATTATTTACTAATCAAATACAAATTTTATTTAGCAAAAAAATTGTTGTCAAAAACTAATGCATTACTATATTAACATGATATGGGATGAAATGATTCTGTATTTGTAGTATAAAAAAATAATATTGAAAATAGTCAGAATGTTTAGTTGATTTAAGTACTACATTAATCAAAACAAATTACAATACTTTTTTGTTCTGGAAATCCTAATAAAAGTTATTTATCTTAGCATTAAATTAATGCTAATGCTAATCTGACATCCCTCATATAGATTAAAAATAGCATTCATTTTATTTAATAAATAGAAAAACTTTCATATGAAATTTTACTACGCACTATTCTAGGAGATATGCAGAACTTCTATAGAACTCTACTAGCTTACACTGTACTTATGATGTTTAATGTTACTGTTAGGAAAGCTCAAAACTGTGTCTTTGATTTTTTTCAATAAGACTTGAACGATGTTCTTCACTAATCAACCAACTCGAATTTTATGCTGGAAAAGAATCAATTAGTAATCTATTCGTAAAGTTTGATACTGTAGCAAGCTTTTTTATTTTATACTTGTTATGTCAGGAGATGTCTCTCCTGAAATAAGGAAGCTCCATGTATTCTCTTGTGACGTTATCACTGTACATCAATGGTATTTCTACTCTTCTTTCTCAATGGTACTTTCATCATGGATAAAGAAAGATAAAAGAATGGAATAAGAGACAGAGAGAATCACATTCTTTGCTGCTTTTTGTTTTTTGATTCATTCACTTGTTTTTGTTTTTTAAAGAAAGGGTGAGAATAATAAAATAAAAGGAGTAAAGGCCTAACAAATTGGTGCACTAGCCGGAGTCCTTCGCAAATGCAACACAACGATTAATGATTCACTATTCTACTATTACCATTATTGAAATATTAAAATCCGTCGTTATTGATGTATCCTCGCGAAATTACAACCACTCCTATTTGGATTCGTCACAAACTGCCGTTATGTGCTCCCCCACCACCAAATGGAGACGAAGCATTACGAAACCAAATCAGATTCCAGAACGTACAATGTTCCGAAGAAGTGATAGAATATTATGTTCGACAAGAACGTGCTCGTCTTGATCTCAAGTGGTGTCTCGATCAATTCTTTGGCTGGAATGTTTCTCATCCATCGTTGGGGCAGCTTGTCACAGCAAATATTTTTGGAACTGTTCATATGGCTTATATTATTGGTTTTGAGCAAGCAAATGTTGTGGTTTCACCGGCTAACATGTCTGTAAATTCTGTGGTTATTGGACGCGATGATATCTATTCTGCAGAAGACAGTTCATTCTATGAAACATTTTTACTTAATCATTATCTTCTTCATCCGCAACATGTACTTGATTATATAGCAAATCAGACACATAAAGATGCATTAACAGAATTCCGTCACGATGTTTCGTTTAGTTCAACTTTACATGAACCTATTGGTGAATCTTTCGACATTGAGTGGTCTGAAGGCGAAGAAATCTGGTTAACTCATGATGAACTTCCACAGCGTAATCAGTTTGTTACATATGAAAACGACATCGTGCTACCGGATTTGGCATTCAAAATTTTTGAAAACCCGCTCCAAGAAAAATCTTCTGTTTCGGATCATGCCTCATCAGCACTCGCTCACCAGACAAGTGAGATAATCTTTTTATCGCAGCCAAATATCGCCGAATCTGGTATACTGTTCAAATCAATCAAATCATTTAACGATGAAGTAGCAAGACAACCGGTTACTCCCGATTTTCATTCTGAATTTATCCAAAACGAAACTACAATCTCTTCATCCATGCCGAAGAAAACATTTTCAGAAGATTCTTTTAACTCGAATCTTATTCAATTAGTCTCACTTGATATCAGTTTTCTTACTTTCCTATTTATTAGTATGATATTTGGAAATCTCGTTCCTTGTCTTATTCTTGATCATTATCAAAAATCCTTATCTTTAATTAACAATATGGGCTTTCATCGCAAGAATCACTTTGAATGGTTTAGAACTTTAGCTGTACCCTAGTATGACAAGCTAATAATCGGCAGCAGGTGAAAAAAAAATGTTTCTCCCTGCACAAATGGAATGGACCACTGGAATTTCTATACTAAATCTACATAAACTATTCGTACATCTTCACTGGCATTAGTACCCGCTTATCTTTGTTATTGGAATTTCGATAAATATCTAACAAACATGCCTCTTCGCTCAATTCTTTTACATTTTCTCTCACCTCTTATCGTATACATTTCATTATTATACTTTTCTTTCGTACATGCAAAATGTTCGATATGGCACATTTGTTCATTTTACATAATTTACAAGGCACGCTGAATATTTGAATACCCTTCCATACCATTTACTCATTCGTTTCGTCAAGTTTTTTTTTCGATGTCCTTTTATGAACATTTACACACGTCTATTACAACAGCGCTCTTCGTGGGTCTATTTGACGTTCTGCTTCGCCTTCGTGAACCCCTTTTTTTTCTTTTCTTTTTATTCTATACAATTCTTGTGACCGGGGGAGGTGTTATGTCAGGAGATGTCTCTCCTGAAATAAGGAAGCTCCATGTATTCTCTTGTGACGTTATCACTGTACATCAATGGTATTTCTACTCTTCTTTCTCAATGGTACTTTCATCATGGATAAAGAAAGATAAAAGAATGGAATAAGAGACAGAGAGAATCACATTCTTTGCTGCTTTTTGTTTTTTGATTCATTCACTTGTTTTTGTTTTTTAAAGAAAGGGTGAGAATAATAAAATAAAAGGAGTAAAGGCCTAACAATACTATTTTAAGAATCATCAGTAAAAGTTTTAATTAACATGCAGAGTAGCACATCTTTTTTTGTCATTCATATTGAATGGAAATAAAATCAAGTTCATTGATTAGAATTGATTGTCAAATGATGTTTTTCCTCGTGTTCATTGTCTAACAGAAGATCGAAAAAATATCAATTAAAAGCCAGTAGATCTATGCTTTTTTTTCATAACATTCAATTTACTCTTGTTGAACAGATAGACTGATATTCAACAAATAGATGCTGGTATCACTAATGTGTACGAGTTAATTTTAGCCCACTTTTTGTTTTTGCAATATCTTGGAAGTGGATGTGGCTGCAGGTGTTGATATGAGCGTAGATTTTCTCGTCATCGATACTCATATTCATATCGCTTGACAATGTTGCAGGCTGTCGAAAATAATGGCCATTATATTGCTGATTGATGTTGCATATTTTTGTTGTAAAATAAATTTGGTGGTGAACAAAAAAACTTGCGAAACTTATGTTACAACCCAATACGTTTTGAGAGTGAACTACGCTGGAAAAAAGTGCTATCGTTCGAATTCAAAGCAAAGTTTCTGACTTTAGAATCTAAAGACATGACGATGGATTTTACTCAACGGTACATATTCTTGTTTAGAACTTTGTTCTTTGCCTGGCTAGCTAGTTTAAAAGGTCAAAAACTTTAGTTTTAGGGTCAGAAATTTGGAAAAATCAAAATTAGCCTTGTTTTCCGAAAATTTCTTTTGAGAAAACTGACCTAGAAGATCCACCATTTTCAACTTTCAAATACATCACCTTATACAGTTTTTCACATTCTTCCTTTTGGTGTATAATACATCTGGGTTGAAATGAGTTTGAAGGGAAAAAATGATGGTTTTCCATTTTTCTCATTGCTTTCCAGCAAAAACGATTTTCGTAGGTAAAGATATGCTCAAAAGTTAAACATTTCATCATCATCAGATAGCCTGTGAAATTCTCTATCAGAACGTGTGTATTAAGTTTATTGTTTTTTTGAAAAATCAGTGTTTTTCATCTAATTTTGTCAAATTTAGTCGCAGTTTCATGATTTTTTCAGAGAATATAGCACGCACTGTTGGCTACATTTTGGTAAAAAAATGAGTCCTCTCTCTGGTAAGAAAGACAAGATATTGTATATAAGAACCGTATGTTCCAAAGTAAACAGTAGGCGAATTCATTTTTCGAATTCTTATTCACTAAAGTATTGATAAATAAGCTGACATTTTCACATGCATGGTCATTATGAAATGAATGTGTGCTGAAAAACTCACAGGAATCAATACTTGTATCTTTGAGCAAGAGCACATGTTGCTTTTTAATAATCAATCAGTATGTTAAACAAATTCATATCCTCGATAAGAAACAATGATTTATCTTCAAACTCTGTAATCTTAATCAGTATTGAGTGCCTTAGTATTGATATAAATTTGAGTCATATCAGAGCGTGTTTAGTTAAGATTCGAATATATTAGTACAAAATTGCAGCAAAACT